ATAACCATGTTGTAGTGAAATGACCAGGTCATTTTCGATATTCATACGGGACCTAACAAGAATAACATAATCAGTACTCCACGTTCTCATCGAAATAGCTAAAGTATTTTAGTGCTACTGTTCAAAGTGATTAATTTAACTGCAATATGTTCTACAGTATAACAAGAGTGCTGGATGTTTGCATATATGTTCCGGCCAATACTGTCGCCGATAATTTTTAGAACGTTTTGTTTGACAGGGTGTTATTAGGAGCAAATTGTGTATTACAAGATATCTTTACTACTTTACTCCTGGCATAGTACAGTAGTGGAGGTCACTAGGGACTGGGATAGCCATTTTTGATATAGGCAATAAGATGAAACTAATAAAAAGGGGGAAAATCAACATTTTATAGTTATACTGTCATGGGGATTTCCTCTGGTATGTTGGATTTTAAGATTGTATGAGTATCTATGGACTATGTGTACAGTACTGTATAGTATACTGTACATTGTACAATATGAGATATAACTGCAAAGCTAACACTAGGTTTACTCTCTATTCAAGATAAGGTAGTTAATGTTCTTATCGATCCAATTCTAAATTTAGGGAATAATTAATATTGATGTTAGTTTTCGAGCCAGTCTACCCGTTCTTACTATTTGGGAAAATTCAGAAATTAGTATTGTATCGATCAATTGAAATTTGGTATGCCGTTCAAAAGCTACCTAGTTGTAAATGATGACTGAATTGAGTTTCGACATTTTCTGTTAGCATATATTGTACCCTTTGCTGGTACAGTACATTGCACAATACTGAAGGTCAGTGGATCGGACCAGAAGCACAAAGTTAATAAATGTCATGCTTAGACAATTCTATATCATGCCATGTTTCCAACTTAATTCATCCCGTTTCTAAATGTTTATGAAACTCAGCGGGATTAACTACGGTGTCCTATCGCATGATATGGAATTTTTCTAAGCATAGCTTTTTTAACATTGCGTCTTGTGAAATCGGCCTCCTGTGCAAGTATCGAGTCGACCCATGGAATCGGTTCTCACTGATTACTTACTTGTTCATCACTCATTGTTTAACCAGTAATGACAAGTTAACATTACCCATGATGTTATCCTATTTATCGATAGAACTGTCTACGTATAAAGCGAATTTGTTACCAAATATGCGTTTGCGACGTCATTACTCTTTCTATAAAAACATCATTAGCATGAATATCTCCATTTAAGAGTGATTTAGTGTCATCGCTCATTTGCAAAATGCGATGATTGATTTCTCGATACTATCATTATTGGAACAAAACGATCCATTAATCCAAGATGTAAATGGAGTAAACTGGATTTTGTGTTCTTTTGATTCCAAGTCCCAGTTGCTAATCGAGTAGTCTGTATAGGCTAATTGGATGAAGGAAGTTCATTGTTGTAGCGATGGTATTTGATATCATATCAGTGTTGAATTTTTTTTATTATCAGTAGGCTGATACCCCTGGTATGAGTTCTAATTGATGTCTAAATTGTCTTGATCCACTATCGAGATCCATCATTGCACTATTGAAAGTGTGGAAATTGAATGATACTACTGCATGATCACGCATTAAGGAATTCATCCGACTTCAACTAGGGTTTGCAAGCCATCAGAATTTTAACTTTGTCCTTGATGAATCTTCAACAATGGGGGCCAATTTGGCCTCCATTGCAGTAGAAGGCCAAGTTGATCGCCGGTGTACTGTACTGTACTACATACTGTAGGCTAGACGACGATGCAAGCTATACCATAGCATACAAAAGGCTGTGTACCACTGAGTGACTAGCGTATGCTTCTTAGGCCCACTGGGGCCGCCAATTACGGTACAAATTTCCGCTTACTAACTGATTTTGACACGTGCAACTGAGAAGAGATGTAACGTTGTCCAATCTTCTTACATCCAGATTATTGTTGTCTACTGTATCGCCATTGACTGCAATTGGTCAACAAGTTGTTCAAGTTTGTCAAGCATGGAATTATTATTATTGAGATTTATATTTAGCGTGGAAGCTATTGTTTTAATCTCTTTGTCTTGATTGTCGATGAATGAGGGTCGCACTACTAACTTGTTAAAGTGACAAAGGAAAACAATCATAACCATCACAGCATTCGCTACACAATTGGTTAGCCAATAATGAAGCAGAATGGCTAGAAAGTTTCTAGGAAGTCTAGTGTACACACAGCACTAATGGATGATCACTTTCAGTCCCTATTTCTATCTGATTGCCTTGAAAAGTTATGGAGACGTGTTGATTAAAAGGGCAACGATTATAAGGGATATTTTATCTATTTGACTCATTTGTAGTACAGATTGAGTGAATTTTTCGTCATTTTGCATATTTGTTCTTTCCACCACATCGCCAACGTTTCTGTCCTTTTAAATGTTTCCAATGTTTTCAAATGTCATGATGAATGGAATGTGCACTTGCGCAGTTCAGTTCACGTGACGTTTCCCACAGTCATTTGAGAACAGCCGGATTGGAAGAGATGGTACTGTACAGTACTGTGCTGTACTGGGCTGTACTATACCAGATTGAAAAGCGTGTTTATTTACATACAAAAGTCAACATTTTATGTTGAAATTCACACACCGTAGAGTCTCCACTCTACAGTGTACAGTACAGTACAGCAGTCGTCACGTACTGTACACTGTACAGTATCCATCGTACCACGGATATAAATAGGTCAACGTATCCTACGCAGCCGTGCACTTGAGCAGGGTCACGCACACCAACAGTCAAACAACAGTAGAGTCAGATTGAAAGAGACGTGGAACGAGACTGAAATCAGTCATTACCTCCATTTCGGTACAGTACCATAGTGTACTGTACTGGTCAGTCGATCAAGACGAGTCGAAAAGCTGTATCGTCCAGTTTATCTCCAACTGCATACTGGAAACATGACGACTTGATACTGTAAGTACTCTACTGTCACAATTGCTGCTATTCTCCCATACAGTACACTGTCCTCCTGTTCGATCGCTTTGATGACACACTGGATCAAGATTGTGTGTCATTAATTTCTTTGGACAGTGTAAGTTCCCAAAGACTTTTCTCTCGCCATTTTTTCGTTTTTTCACAGTGTAATTGCAGTGGATTTTTCAATGGTGTTTTTCCTCTTTCTCTTCTCTCTTTACTACGTGTTGTCGTGTTATCATTTTTAGCCCTTTGATTGGTATTTTTTTTTGAAATTTTGGTATCCCTATCTTGACTTGTTTCAAAGACAAGTTGCCTTTTCCACTGGACTTGCATCAATGAATTTTCAATGCATTCTTTCAATCGTACTAATGTTATTTGAGTACAACATAGCAATGGAGTTGAAAAAATGAAAAGGATGAGTGAGAGAAAGAGGTGAAAAAAAAAAATTGTACATGTTATTGCCGTCAAGTGTTGCAAGCTTATTGAAGAGTCGTTTTTAGCCAGTCAGTTGAATAGACGCTGATTTGAACATGATGTTACTGTTGCCAATCATGATCCGGTTATGATTGTTATTTTGATTCACTGCTTGAGTTGATTATCTTGCCCACTGGACAATTTATATATAGTAGAAGACGACTGATTAAAGTAGGAGATTGTAGCAGATCGTGTCTTGCCAAGATGAAAATATCACTCAGTAAGACAAAGTGATAATCTCACTAGTCAACGAGTTGCAAAGCGTGAGAATGAAATCAACGTATTGTAGACGACAACATTTTCTATTTTTCAACTTTTTACTGTCACTTTGTAGACCCATTTTCATAGGTAATACAATACTAATCGTATATTCATTGACCATCGATGCCTATTTTCTTGACTTTGAATACCATTCTATTCATCATATATTGTATTAGGGCATTTATTCTTCCTCTGTTGATCTCAATCGTTTTGTCCATTTTATCGTTTGCTTTTACTATTTGCTTAACGTATTCAATGTTGTCTCAATCTCATCAAATTATCCTAGGTTGACGCCGTAGACAACATTGCATTGAGTGGATACAGAATCACTTTGCTAACCAATTTGCCATTCAACTTGATCGTTTATCTCTCTTGGATTCTACTGTAAAATTGTAGTAGCCTACTGCGATCACTATTCAGAAAGAAAAAATAAAAAAAGAAATCAAAGTTCCAAATTCAATTTCAAGTCGACAATAAATAGGTAAACAGTACAAATACTAGAGACGATCCAACTGCTCTACAGGACGATAACATGAAAGTACTGTATCATTTTTAGACTATCATCAGCATCATTATTTTTTTTTTATCCATTCTACGAATTTGGATACCGATAGACATCGATGTACCTAGTATACCGACTTGATGATGATAGGATCAAGCGGTATTGCCTTGATCGTTATGCATCGATGTCGATCGGCAATGATTGCAGTTTTGCTTTCGCGACTTTCACTGTTAGTAAACAACTGACACAGTATTAATTAGAATTTGATTGTCTGATCGAGCAGCGGTGTTATCGGGATTGAGTTCAGTTTTGTTTAATAAGAATCAAGTCAAGCCAAGAAAAAGTAGCTCCTAATTTTATTATATTATTTTATTTTTTTTTGAAACGGGGGGCAAGAGGGAAAAACAACGGTATGAGAATATATACAGTTGGTCATTGTTGAAGGAGAAAAGAGTTGGAGAGAGAACACTAGCAGTGAAAGATAGACAGTAGATAGTAATAGTGGAGTTATTGGAAAAGAACATTTCATCATTTGAAATAGCTGATTGTTTGTTTGGCAGTTATCGAGATTCCAGTCAGGTACAGTACGGTATAGGACAGTAGGATAGAGTACAACATTGCTCCACTTGATCCAACGATTTTCGGTATCCTGGACATTTTCTCTCTTACCTTGATATTACCTATTGTTATTATTATTATTATTATTATTATTACTAAGCTAAGTAATCGTTGAGATCGCGATTGCGATACAAAACTTTCTACTTGCAAGACTTCACTAAATCTGGATTCAATTCATGATTAACTAGGTTACAAACCTTTGTAGCGTAATGGCTGATGCTATGAAGCAAGAGCCTTCTTCGCCTGTGAATGGAATTGTTAACGAGACGACATGTATAGTCAAGACCGCCGAGAATACTATTCAAGAAAATACCTGCAAATCCAATCATGCTATCAATGGTTTTCGTATTAACAAACCGAGCGCAAGTAATGGCAAACTAGCTTGCCGTAGGGAAGATAGGGGCGAAGACGTCGATCATGTTCAATCCCATTTTAGGAATGAGAGAAAATTAACGGAAAGGAAAGGAGAAGATCGTCCATCCAAAAAGAATAGTAATGCCAAAGTTAATTCTTTAACCTATACTTCTGATGACGACGTTTATTACAAACCGGGAGGTAAGCAAAAAAAGTGTTTGCTAATCTCTTTTCATCGTGACTTCCCCTTCAAAGAGTAATGAACTATTAATAATCTTTTTTTTTTCCCCCTATTTTTGCCATTCACCAATCTTACGATCAATTTCATTTCTTTACTTAATTTTCTTTTTTTTTGTCCATATTTGTATCAATCAATTTCTGATTGAAAGTATGCGTATAATTTCTGCGGGTAGAAAGTCAATCAAGTATCTGTGATCAATCTTTCAATTGTATTACGTCAACAAGATTTCATTCTGAATAATCTTGTTTTATCTCCTTGCTTGTCGTCAAAAACCTTCCTTCCACTGACTTCTAGCCTACTTTTCCTTGCCGGTAGTACAAGATTGATTGCACTTTTGAGTATTTTGGATAATTATCCGCTGTAAATTATTTTTTTTTTTCACCTCTTATCATCTTTTCTCATTCAATTGAATTATCCTGACGTTACAGGGTAGAAAAATTGATGATAGAAAGTCTAGTATCTAGTCTACTATCCTGACTTCAATGATAGTCATTTACATTAATGTATTTTTTACACTTGGTGATCGGACTATCGTAGGCAATTATTATTGACTAGTAAACAGCAGGATGGAACGGCTAAGATACGTCTGTCGTTAATAAACGATCGCAGTGAGAATCTTAACAATCTGGATTTGGATAGAATGAGATCACAGCTTGTGGCCGTATTGGAAGTGCTTGCTAGTGGTAGCAATTATGTGTAATTAATACCTTTAGTCGATCTACTCTACGGTACTTTGTTTTCACATCTGTTGAAAAAGAGACTTTCTCAACGTACTGCTGTCTATTTAACTGTAAAGTTTTGAATTTTACCTATCGATTGGTAAAAGACTTGCCCCGACGTACATATTACTGTACTGTCCTGTCAACTACGAATTTCTGCATTTCATTCTTCGTCCATTCTACATTTGTGCAATGCCGTGTACCATAATGGATTAGTAATCATGATATCTATAGAGTTGATATCAGTTAACTTACTCAATGTACTGCAGTGCACATTATTTGTAACAATAATTTTGTACGATGTATCAAAGGATTAAATTCTCACTTTAAGGTACTTACAGTATACCAAATCAATATCGTCGGATTCACGACATTTTCAACTGTACATGATGATAAAATTGCGCTTGTGTAGTCACACGTATGCAATATTTTAGAATTATCAATCGCATAGTGTGTTGGTACGCTTTCGTACTTAGATGATTATAGAGCAAGAAAGAATTGAATTTTGGGAGGATAAAACGGCCTACAGTATATAGTCTTATGAGTATGGACGTAATCGAACGTTGATCTCGATCTTCATACTAACATAATATTGCATAGGAATTTAGTTTTGGTAATGTTAACAACGGAAATAATGGCCATATTGGTTGGCTACGTGATCTTAGATGAAATGAACTAAAAAAGTACGACTGGCAGTATTTACAGTTTTAAAAGTCTTAATATGAAGAGGCGCACATTTATTCAACACGAATGGATTAATTTGGCATTTAAGCCTAGACTTTTTTATATTAAGACTTACACATTGCAGTAATAAATTCGCTGCCTTTATGATATGGCATCTTTTCTCTAGTACTGCTTCCGATTGTCTTAGCATATTATGAAGCTGATAACTGGACGATAATTGATAATTTGATAAATGCAAAAAATATTTTTTCTCTTTCTGCAATAGCCTATATTCACAGTTGACTTGATTTTGTAATTTTTTGTCATGCTTTTTCTTTAAAATCGGGAATTTCAAGTTACCTACTATGCAATAGATCGTCAGTTATTGTTTACCAGACGTACCACTGTAAAGGTTTACTTTACGACGCACGGATAATTATGTGCACTACCGCATAACTATGAGTGCGGCCTTAACCCAAATTAACTACAATGACTAAACCGAACGCAATCAGTTTTGATTGTGCAAGGATAAAGCAAATTACCATTGGACTCCCTTTACTTTACATGAGTAAATACAGCCTTGGTAACGTTCAGGATACTACAGTCTAGGATGTTATGGGGTAGTTGAATTAAATTGAATTAATTAACAGATTGGTCTGTCCTACCGTAGATGATTGCAAATGGGTTAAAATTAGAGTCCGTGTGCAATGTAGAACACTTGAGATCGTAGTTTTAAACGCTTTTTGAACCATGATTATTTCCCCCCCCCCTTTACTTCCCATTAGGTTGTTTTATCCATTCGTATGCAATTGCTATTAATCTTATTCTACTTTGAATTAATTAAAGGTGATCATTCGATCCTAAAGTATGTTTATTGGTTGCTTGTGCTGTAACCGATGTTATATTATGCAGCGTAGGAATGATTGTCCCTACAGTATTGATTTTTACAAACAGTTTACATAACAGTTTTATCAATCATGTACTGTAGTGTATACTGTATAGTCCATATGCTAGACTTGATCCTAATTTTAATGAAGTGTATAATATCTAGGAATATATACTTTAGTACTTAGATTGGCTACGTGTTTAACTTTGGCCACTGCCAATGGAATATGACTTTAAAGTTGAATTTAACTGGACTTTGCAGTTTTATTCTATTCTATGCAGTCTCGAGTATTGTCGTATCTCTAGTGTACTTGGGTTATAATTTTTTCCATTAAATAGTTTGCTGGTGAATTTTGAAATAAATAATTCTATGACGTATGAGTGATGGAATCAAAAAGAAACAGTGAAAAGACGATCTGTCTGAAAGAGAATTTCCACAGCATTTTTGACACCCGTATACATGAACTCTATGCCATCGAGTTTGAACTTCTTTTTATGCTGCCTCATTTGACACTGACAATCACTCATACAGGAAACAGTTGATAAAGTTATTCTAAAATTGTCCTTATGCCAAAGCTATTACAGATGACTATATTAAGTTAATAGAAGAGAAATTCTTCTCTCTACATAACACACAAGTTCAATTTGTCATAACAGGAATAATAGTGTTATGAGACCATTTTACAATGATCATCTAGTAAATATATAAATGTGTTAAGATTTTAGTGTGAATTTTTCAAGTCGCTGACTTGTACCAAAAGCGATTTTATCATCCTTTAAACGTTGAATGATCAAATAGGCTATCATTGGGATACACGTAATCCCTCTCTACGCTACTGATTTATTGTACTGTATTTTATAGCAAAAGTTGTAATTTTGACTGGTTAATATTTATAACGAGCTAGAGGTACACTAGGGCAAACTTGTCAGCTTGACTGCTTTTACTTTCGCCGCCTTTCTTTAATGTCCTTAAATGACATCATCTACTGGCAACATTCTTCCGATAATCTTGATTAATAGACAGGTTATCTGTCTTTGTCACTATCTTGACGAAAATCGCCTACCCAAATACAATCCTATTGTAATCTTAATTATCAGACAGTGGAATAACCTTTAATTAAAAAATAGTAATATTACCGTCAAGTTGTAGAGTCTTTTATTAACTTTTCCGAAATATTATGCAAAACTTGAATGACTGATATGTTTTAAAAAGTATCTTAATCCAAAGTCGATCCCCAATTTACAACACACTGTAGTTCTATCATACGATACTTTCAATATAGGATTCAATAATATCATCGACTGGTATAGATCGTGTATTTTTTTCCATCATTTAGCATTATTGTTGATTTGGACTATGACTGTTGTTGGATGTTTGGGGTCAAATTTAAAAGCATTACTGTCTTAATTTCGAAAGCAATTGAATGCGGACGTTAGTTTTATCATACGGGAGAGTATGAGTTAGATAAGAAAGTGAAATAATAGAATTCATGAGTGTACGCTCTACGGTCCAGTAGAATCGATGAAATGTTATTAACTATTTCTAGGCTAAATGATGAGTTTAGTCTTTCTACTGTAGAATAAAATGTAAATAAAATATATAAAACTTGGTTGATGTTAACTATGATAATGTTTGCCAGTTGTTCAATGGCGTCAGATTTTGGCATCGAATCTGGTACATTGCTGTAGGATATGACTAAGTTTTTATCGTAATTTATGACGGAGATAGCTATTGTACAAGTGTAGGCTACAATTAATGTACAAGTTAATGAACTATGGTATATCATTAATCGACAAATGGTACTGTAAGATACGACGATCTGACGATACTTTAGCTTCCTTTTACGAATCAAAAAAACAGGACGTCCATTTCTTTTTTAATGATACTGTTTTAAATAAAATTACTATGCCTATGCTGATCTACTCTGGTATACGACAATGCCGTGCAGTCAAAAAAGTACTTAGTCGTATCTTATTCACAGACCAGTAGTGTAATAAGCTGATTAAAAATGGAACTCGTCGTCACCAGTGGAAGAAGTATAAACTGATCGTGTCAAATTGACAACATTAGCGCTTAAGGCTTTATATTCTTTTCAGTTTTTACGCCTGTTTCTTTATTTTCCTATGGGATATTACGCATGATGGTATTATTACTGTAAAATCTTAATTGCCTTTTCTGTTGTAATGTGCCGTAGAATCATATTGACTATTGCAATCGCATGCTCTCTTTGATGTTAAATGATTAGAAAAAAAAAATTGTCAAAATTCACCTGCCGTTCTCTTTAATTACCATATGCGCTAGATATTGAATTGTTAATACTCCAAGTGAATAATTATAACTATTTCGAACTTAACTCATTCCCTTAGACTACAACATAACAATTTTGATGATATAACATTCGACTACAGTATATTCCAGTGCAGACTTCTTGCAAAGAGCTTACTTTATTGAAGTACTTGGAATGGTACTGATTGCCTTTTGTTCGTGATGTTATAGGGAAGCATTGTTTAATCTCGGGCTTTTGACATAGAATTACAGAAGTTGATGAAGGATTTCTAATAAAATTGCATTATAATATTGAGAATGTTATTGATTACGTAATCAATTCACAAAGAACATTTAAAATGTATTTTAGAATTTATAAAATGGTCATTATCCAACTATTGACTATAAACAACTTTATTGAGGAAAGTCAATTGGAGTCGGTAATAACGTATTAAACTGTGATATCATGAAGATTAGTGTAATTTTCCAATGTCTTAAGTGCTGTCCATCGGCAATCTAGATCGTGGGTTACGATTTTTTCCAGATTGTTACTTTATGAGTAGATTTTACCATTTATGATGTTGTGCAATCTTGATTCAACTTATTCCATATTGTCCGAGCGCATAATAATACTGTCACTGTTTCATTGAGTTATATTGAAGGGTTTAATGAACAATTTCCTAAAAAACGTAATTCTGTTGTTAATTTCTTCTTTTGGAGGGGGGACATACTGTATAATTGATGACATAATCTTACTGTATTTCCTTGCTTCAATTCAACATGAATGATATTGTGAAATCAAACTTTTCTTCGAGCGTAAAGGAAAAGTGATTATCATAATAGACGGACGTCCTGCAGTTGAGCAGATTTTGTGTAAATTTGGTTCAATCTTTGTACCTACATCCAGTTACAATCATGAATTATATTATTGATTGCTAAATGAAATCAGTTACTATCTTACATGTACAATGGACGTTTCAAATTACTGCACCGTAAACTCTTGATACATTTTTTTCCGTTTGTATGCTTAATATAAGAAACATTGTGTAGTTCGTTGTAGTGCTTTGATACAGCTATAGTATGGTATATGAAGTATATCTACTGTACTTGCATTAGTAGTGAAAAGAGTTATCCTACCTTATTTTAAATCGCTTTAATATTAAAATATTAAGCTTTGTAATTCTTAGATCACGTCATCATCTCGATAATATTGGTACTGTGCAGTATTGGATCAATTATAGAGATAATTTTCAGTATTAACCAACTGAATATTTTGATTGAATATTTTGCAATTTTACAAGTTGATTTACATCAGTGGTTTTATGATTGAACGGGGGGGGGGTTATCTTTTAAAACTGTTCATATTCTACGCTGTTTATATTTACCTTATACTTTTCTAGTAGAATTCGCTTGACTGAGTTTTACCTTGATATTTAAAATTTTTATCATTCTGATCTCAAAATGATTAAATCGCCTAGATAAATGGTAATGCAAGAGGTTTTCAAAAACGAAATAGTCATGTATTCTTAATTGTATTTTCCATTTACAGATTGTGCTTACATCGAAAATCAACGCGTCGATCAGCCTTATTACATTTGTAGTATTAAAGAATTTCATATGGTATGTTGTAAAATATTTGGAATTTAACTTATTGCAATTAAATAATAACAATATTAATTATAATAAGAATTATTTTAGATTCGGTAATAACCCATACTGTACATTTAGGACGACTTAAGTTGTTTCTGTTAAAAATTAAGCAGATATTGGTACAATATATAAAAATTATAATAGTGAATTATGTTAGAGTTATTATTAATTGTTATGCTGTGCAGTACAAGTAATGTTACTTCTGTTAAAATGATGATGACAAATATCTTTATAAGCGCTGCTATAGTATCACCAATATTGATGCTTTTTGCTTGATTTATTAGTTCATACATACTAATGCCTATAACATTGTACCTGTAATTCAGTAGCGCGAATTGAGGCCTGTTTGCAATTGATTTCTCTTACATTGAAAAAACTATCATACTAAACGATATGAATATTACCGTCCGAGATAGTAGTTGTAATAAAGCGATTTGAGTGACAGTAGTCTTCAGTCAAGATTAATACCAAGATAAGAGTTGGAATACTTTGTCATATATTGTATTGTCATCGTAAAGTCTTATCGATAACGGAGATGGATTATCGTTGCATCATAGGACGATTAATAATGACTTCTTTCCTTTTTCTATTTTCCGTTTACTGTTTATGCTATTAATACTGTCTTTAGTCGTCTTAGACAAGGCGAAGTTAAACTCAATCAACGTTACTGTTGATACATAAACTATCAATACAATTAATTGAAAGTCAGGAGTTATTTCTGTTTTATTAGAAATATTTAATTTTCTTGATAGTAACTGATATTCTTAAAATGGAATAACAAGCAAATTGCGATTTAGTTTTTCTAATTATTGTATTATAATTTTTTACTATTGGATATACTTTTTTCTGTTAGCTACAATTTTTAGTACAGTACTATAAAGACTTAGATCGATAATTGATAGCCTTACGTGGTTAATAATCAAAGTTGTAAAGTTTTATATCAATTTTATGATATTAAATTATTGTGCCATTGTCTTACTTTATAGACAAAGCAATGCTTACAAGTAACAGTTCAATGGTACTACCGCTCTTCGGAAGTCCCCCACTCAGTTTATCACACGTTAAGGCAAGATCGTGATGCAGATAATGGAGGAACAGATGGTCTCCATCGTGTTCTAAATGAACTTTCTGTTAAGCAAAGGGAATTATTTTCTTCAAATACCAAGGATATGTTCCCTGCCTCGGCGTTAAGGTTGGTTGCAAGAGTTGATTAACACATTGCTATCATTGCATATCGAAATTTTAAATTCATACTTCGTATCTTTCCATTGCTATTGTAGAGGAAAATGTGATGTAGAACAAATGCCAGATGTAAATAGTCTTCGTGACATGGTATCCAAGCCAGATACATTTTTCTATATATATGGTTATAATCCAGAAACTAGGTTAGTAAATTTTATAGATAATTTATCGAATTTAATTTCCATGACTATTCCTAGTCGCATTGTTTGATAATATTGTGATATCTGGTTGATAGACGTTTAGCCAATACACAAGGGGAAATTCGTATAGGACCAAGCCATCAGGTAATTATAATCGTATTGATTGTTTCATCCTCCATAGGAGAACTTTCATCTGCATACAACTTAGAGTTAATGTGATGCTGAAAATATTTTCGCTGATTGTTAATGTTGTATTTCGCGGTTTAGGTTGCATTGCCAGAGTTAAGACCTATATCTTCGATTGATTCTTATGATGATAACACCTATGAGACTAAGGTTCGTTACTATTGAAGTACTATTTTATAAAGATTTTATTTAGCTATGAGTAATAGGAATATACACTGTTTGTTTATTTAGGTTTGGGCACCACCAGATGAAGAAGAAGATATCGATAGCTACCTAGAGGCTGCAAAGTAAATTTTGCAATAATACGTTCTTCATTGTTTGATTATACGATTTAACTGTATTTGTTATGTTTATGATAAATAGAAGCTTAGTTACTGGTTATGCAGGTTTAGCGCAGGGTAAAACCGAGGATAGCGATTATCTGGTAGGTTGTGCTTATTATCTGTTAGTTAATTAGTTGAATATACTGTATATTTTATATTACAGTAGTATTGTTATTAATGTTGCAAATATTCTACAATTTAATAGATATCGGACTGTGTCGTGCAATATAACGCATTAATGAAGGTAAGATTAATTATTTCCGTTCTGTATTATGTTACCGCAATATTTAAGTAATTAGACCATGGCAGTAATCAAGTATTGACTTATAAAAATAGCTCTATGAAAATCATTTCGATACTGACTCAGCTATGAAGAGTCTAACTGAAAGACCGCTCCCGAAATCTTTTCTTAAAGTTTGGAATGATGATGATACGGTAAATGCAATTAGAGTAAATTTTTATGATCGGCTTTTACTGTTTCAATAAATATCTTGTACTACATTATTAACCGTATGCATTCACTTTTGTTGTAAATTGGATAAATCTAGAAACGCTTCGTCAAAGGATTAAGACTATACGGCAAAAATTTTCATCGAATACGTAAAGAGCTGTTTTCTGAGAAAGACACGGTACGAGTTAACCGCAACTACGTAGTCTACCTAAAGATTGCAACGTATCCTATTGCAATTTGGACATTAAAGACCATTGTTCGATTGTATACATTTGTACTAACAAATCATCGGTTTGTTTATTCACTGTCATTCTACTTGATAATAGGGTGATTTGATAGAATTTTACTATCACTGGAAGAAAACAAAGGGCGCAACTAATGCCAAAGCCTATCGAAAACATCGTCGTAATATTAGACGTCAGCGAGCGCCGCGCGCTACAAAGATTAGAAATAATAAATCTGAACTTCGTAAGTGAAATAAATAATTTACTTCGCTTAGAATAACTTTTTCAACAATTTATTATGAATTGTTATTACTAAGGTGGTTTAAATTGATGTTTAGCTTTTATAATAATAATTATAGCTGATCTTGGTTCTGCTAGTGAAGATGGTTTGACTGGTGAAGAAGGCGATAGAGATCGTCGCTTGTATTGTTGTCGACATTGTTATTCTACTACATCACGCAGTTGGCACCATTCCGGTGTTGATAAGCAGTTACTTTGTGATGATTGTAGAATATACTTTAAAAAGTATGGAGAAATGAAATCAATTCCTGATTCTGTTGAGCCGCCGGCTCAATTACTAAAATTATACGAAAGAGAAAAGGAAAAAGAAAAAGAAAAAAGAAAGAAGGATGAGGTAACAATCAAGTGATCATTTAATATTGAAAGCGTCTCGCAAAGTTAATTTTTCGTTATATTACAACGTTTTAAAATGCCTCTAAACCCTTTCTACAGATGGAAGTAAAACGCAGAAGGCCGCGAAAAGTTGATAATGGGAATAATCGGCATAGTAGTCGCTTCACGCGTAATAGATCTTCACCAAGCAATAGTGATTCATCATCAGTTGATAATGGTGTACATCGCCAAGATGTTACTGGATCTAATGCTATTGCATGTAGCCCTTCCAGTAGTAATGGATCGCTCGTCGAACAAAAACCGAAGAGAAGAGGAAGAGTTCCAACTAAGACTACGAGCACCAAACGTGCTGCTAATAAGTCGATTGATAACAGACGACGTAAACGATCGAAAAAGAAGGTGCAAAGCCAGGTTAGTTCAAGAACTGCTTGGAATCTAAAAATAGATGTATTTAAGATAATTTAGAGTCATTTCTTGATTATTCTGCGCTGTATAGAAATCTGTTAGTAGCGATAGCGATACTGACGATAACTCAAGCACAAGCAGTACGAATACTACTGAAGAACCTATTAACGGAAACGCGCAAAGAACAAATAGAAACAGTAGTAAAGATCAAGAAAGCATTCATGTTAGTACATCAGCGCGATTTGTTAAGCGTCTTCATCATATGAAAGGAACAATAGGATCAGCTCGCACAGATTTATCTTTCACGCCATTGAAACAAATGGAAATAAAGGGGACAAGTGCAACATCGACACCGACTACATCAACCACTACGACTAGTGCAATAGCTGTAAAGCAAGATAAGAAGTCTAGGCCTGAAATGGTGAGCGTAATATTACAATTTAGCTAACTGTATTACTACAATAATGATGATTATTATTGATGACTCAGTTTATGAATAAAAAATACATTAAAAATTGAAGTTAACAGCTGATGTTTTATTGTTTAATTGCTGCTATTAGGAGAAAAGCGATGAAAAAAGAGTACCTGTATCTGAGGGATCGACTCCAACAAAATCTGCCTTCAAGCCGCAAGATGTTTCGGCTGATCGTGAAGAAAGTAATACCGTTCGCAATGCCATTCAGGAAAGAAATTTACCATCAGTACATAATGTTGCTGCTAATCGATTTACGCAGTACGGTAATGTAAATCCAACTAACAATTATTATATGCATGGTCATAATATGGCGGCGAATACTTTGCCATCATTGCCAAATATTCATAATGGAAATGGCTTACTTCAATTTCAAAATCCGCTAATGGCAAGCAATGAATGCCATTCCGGAATGCTCCACGGTAATCCTCTTCAACATCAGCATCATCATGTTGATCCGTCATCTCTAGCGATGCACCCTATTCATCAATATGGCATGCCCGCATTACATAGTCAACTTGGCCCAACTGGTATTCACCCGATTGAGAATAATTTCATGTCTCCGTTACTAAATGGTTCTTATATTCCACCTGAAGTATTATCAAATTTAGCAATGGGTAATATACCATCGAATGCTTTTAGTATGAACCCTGAATTGCAACGTATGATGCAATTTTACAGCCAAGAAGGTTTGCGTCAAACCTTATCACGCAACATGATTGACCAAGTGGCATACGAGTGGACACGATCAGGTAATGCTGCAGCGGCAGCAGCTTCGGCAGCGGCGTCAGGTCAACCACCAGTTCCGGCATGGTTTACCGCACCACCAATGCTATTTAATGATCATCATCAAGGTGTATTTCCACCAGGTGGATTTTAGTGTGATGTCTGATGTAGTTTTATTAATTGTCAATTATCAGAGGTTGCCATTGTATGAATATTATGAAAAAAATTAATGGATTTTTTTTAGGATACTGTAAAAGATTGTAAAACTCACATATTATACTGATTTCACATTGTAGATGTCAATACGAAATTGTAGTTATCTGGAGATTAACATTTGCTTACGCTATAAGTAATAGAATTAACTATATGATACATTTTAATAGAACCCATTATTCTTTTGACATTTTTCTGATGTGTAAAGGACCTTCCTAAATTACATGAATTGCCTTAATGATGACGATGACGTATTCACATTTCACCATATTCGTGATCCTTCCATCAGATTTGTGATACATTTTGAGATACGAACAAATTTTTTCTTGGACGTAAATTTATAGTACTGTATTCTTCTTATACTTCAATTGTATCGTGCAAAGAAGTAAACCGACCAATTATATGTGATATTAGTAAAACCAGTGATTGGCCTCTCGTATCGAGGTCATGCGAATTGTCATAAACCATTTAACTAATTGATAGTCTAGTATATTATCATTTTTTTCACCGCCGTTACTAAGTACGGTGTATTACGCTATTCCGATACAGGAAATTTATCATAATGTTGTAGATGAGGAATACGCTCTAATTCATATTGTTTATTCATGTCAAAATTCTATTATTGTTGTGTTACATGGCTAACAAACTAGATCTACTTTGTAAATTAGTTGGGAATTAACGATTTTAACCTATTAATATACAAATCTGTAAAGTGGACTACACATGTGCGATTGAATCATCTATAGCGAATATTTACTATTGGTACTATTGGCAATTTGGTCAATCTGTACTAATGAAACATCATTCTCCAATTGTTAAGATAGAACATTATGACTGAAACGCACTAAAAATACAAAACTATTTAGCTCAAGCATCAACAATTTGTTCACCGTTTATATTACATGACTCAGTTATGAGGCTGTCAATTAATCGCCTATTTAGCGCTATACGATTATTATAATTTGATAAGTTATCTGGAATACCAACATTTTCGGCTATAACATGTTCTATTTGTGATATAAGTCTGTTCTTTCCATCTATTAAAACATACGAGATATTGTATAAGAATTTGCCTGTGACTATGCTAATACATTTCGTTTTTTCTTTCTGTTATTAATAGTTATCGTCGCTATTCAACTTTAATGTACAGTTTTGGGTAATGTGGTCATATATGTTAAAAGGAATAAGCCAATAAAAATAGATATCGCTATCGATTGGTTAGAATTCATTTGTCAATACTGCTAGACAACGTCATATTTTTATTACGATATCTGCAGTCTTTTATTTCACTTAATAGCTAGTATTTTATTTATAGACCTATACTATATAATACAGCTACCGATAGTTCAGCTAGATATAACTCATAAAGGTTGTTCCTGAATTATTACTTACAGCATGTTAGCCTTACGGTGATATTCATGGTCGAGTAGTTTTATTCATATAACCAATTATTGCGCAGAAAACCGAAATCGTGCTTTATCATAGCCATAGACACTCAATCGATTATCTGGATATCACTGCAGTCGTTTATGACTAACTTATTAATTTTGATAGCCCAAGTTGAGGTCGAAGAGCTACGATATCTTTTAAAAAGCTGTTAAAATAACCTCATAGTACAGATTATAATTATTGGTGGGTGAAGTAAAATATTCCGTTTAGAAAGTAATTCTATCGGTTTTTCGGTATTCCTTTCAAATTATACCCCTGAACCGGCCGGAAAGTATCTCTTAATCTGTTAATTGCTCTCATGATTTCACTCTAGCAGCTATTCAAACACGAGGTATGGCGTACTTAGTGCAATTATTTCAATTCGTAAAGTTTAGATTGAGTCATTATGTGCTATAGACTACTAAAAGAAACCTAACATGCTATACAATAATTACATGACCGTTATCGGTTTAAGTTTTATATATCAGGTTCATGATAAGTAATACCATAGTAGTTTGGCCTTGTTTTTCAAATTACATGATCTAAGGCAACCTTAGCAATTAGTTGAAAGAAATCAATTCACTCATAGCAGCTGAGTCTGATTATGCACTTGTGCTTATCTTGAAATGCGATCTAGGCGATCTTGAACTAGATTTTGATCAATAACTGACACTATTTTCGAGTTTAAGGGATAGAATTGAAATTAGATAAGACTTTACGAACATATTCATGAATTATAAGTGTAGCAGATGTCTATAACTTATAATCATTCATTTTAACTAGCTGTGTGTCCGCTTATGGTTGCTGCAATCGATTGATTCAATCATAGTGGATACTATAGATAAGGCTAGCGATTTACTCAAATGAACTATCATTCCTAAGTTATTTAACTACCTTAGGGTAACGGCAATTTATTTGAACGTTTATAATAGATCTATTCAAGGACGCCAACGCTACGATTCATGATGTCGGCAAATAATAAAGTACTAGATTAAAGCTATATTATAAAATCTAAACAATAGAAAAGAATTCGTAAACTAGATGATAAATAACTAAACAATAAGATCAATAATTATTAATTGATAACTAATTCTTTTTAGATTCTAATGTCATTTGTTTATGTAAACAAAATGTAAAATCAAAATAAAACAATGGCATAAACTATTTCCTGCACTGATCAACCTGTCAGCGAGAACAGTTGCTAACTAGTACATTTCTGGATAGCCGTACAAAATAAAACGATCATCAGGATAAGAACTAATATCGATATTTTTACAAGCCCACTTTGATGATGTCCTGAGTATTATCATCGTTAAGTTTTAATTGTATCTAGCAGATTAGTATTAAGCTTGGGATATTTTGGGTAGTTAGATCATCATGGAAGATGAAATGATGTAAAAATAGATTATTACTTAGCTATGAAACATGTACGATGTTAAATTGATTAAATTATTTATTTAAATTGTGGTGGTCGATTTCTGATAAATCTTGATATATTGAAACTTCTAGTACTTTCATTATCCAGTCTAGATTGTGTTTAGAAAATTTTAATCGAATGGACTCCAAGAAGCTTTGTAAAATGAACAATTAAAAAAATTTATCCTAGAGTTTCATATCAGAGAGAATTATAGAAAATGATAACGTAGTGGGCCAAAATAGTTACTTCGTAGTATCTAAATTGTATCAATGGGATGCTACTAAAATTTCAATTTTTTATTTTATTGTAGTGTCGAATCGCATCTAGGGGGAATGCATAAAGCTATTATATCTCCTAAATAATATCTTCGCAGTGAATAAATTACATCGATAAGTTTGCAGTATATTTTGATAAACTATTTCATCTTCAAATTCAATCGTATCGAAGAAAAATCTAAAAATTAGTATATCAGAATGCCTAAATAGTACTTTCGTAGTGTGTAGTTAGATCAATTAGATTGAATTACCAGTTAAGAGGCTATTTCGCCCTAGTGTTAAATTACGTTGAAGGAAATTTTATAAAGCTATGGCATTGTACCGCCTGGATGGCTTTATTATCGTATCTGAATAATTTCAAATTAAATTTTGATAAACTTTGATGCACTGTCTAGTTAAATAATTATCTTATCGTATAAATAAAAGATATTAAAGTTAGATTTGGCCTCAAGTCCTTGCTATGATATTACGAGGTTTATCATCATTTGCTGCAAATCGCCACAAACTGGTTTTTAGTGACCTTAATTTCTAATTGAATGGTATCTTTATAAAGTTAGGATCATTTTGCACGAAATTTTTCTAAGCATTAACGTTATATTCTGTTGAATTGCTTTTTCGTTAACATTTAAATAATGTTGTAAGAAACATGTGCCTAGACAGCCAACATTGGCAAATTGAGTAATATCGTAGTTAATTTAGATTTTATTGAACAAATTTTCGCCTCATCCTTATTAAATATCGTTTTATAATAAACTGTAACATCACAATTTTGTTATGTAACGATCAAACTAAAATTAGATGCCCTCCATACTATTAGCAAGAATTGTTTGAAGTGATTTCGAACATGTGATGATTATTCATCAAATCAACTATTTTCAGCCAGTGATTGCCTATCAATTATAAATAATGCCTTTACGAACACGTACTGTATATAATTTATTTCAAATAAAAGATATAAAAGAAATAATTGAATTGAATAGGTTGCTAGTCAAAAAAGTTATTCATTATTATAGACGATCGTATTTTTATTTATTTATTTACAATGTCTCAATCCATATATCCTTATTCAACTCTATTGGCGATTGCCTTTCATGAATTTAATTGCAAAATTGGATTCTATTCTTTATGTTGTATTACCGTCTTCCTTATTCATCTCCCTAAATTTCGATATTTGTATTGGACTTGATGCATCTAAAGCATGTTTAAGAAATTAATTCTTGGAGTGAAGATCAGTTTAAAATTTGAATCACGCTATTGATAATAATACATACAATCGTATTTACTATCAAAGTTTAAAACATAACGTATTAATCATTTTATATTACCTTCGACAAACGATGAAAGCATAAGATTAAATTGATGGTATATTCTACGAGAAGAATGGTCATGATTTTTTTAAAATCTCTCGTCTACTAATCAAGATAAAACTTTGCAAGTTAGTTTCTGTGCTGATCATTAATAGGAAATGGATGGCGCAATAAAACAAAGTAAGCTTCTATTTTCATTTAAGTCAATTTCTTCTCGAATTAATAATTCACGATACATAATGTTAACGCTACTTTAAAGTCTATTTGAAAGTAAGACAGAGTATCCATTAATCTTTATCGACACTCTATCAGCATCCTACTATAATTATAGAGACATTAATCTTTATCGACACTCTATCAGAAGCTTACTATAATTATAGAGATGCATTTAAACGTTCGTCATAGCTACTAGGTATGCATAAGGCCAAACTTGTATTTCTTTGCTTATCTTTACTTTTCTAAGCTGATTATGAAGACGATAGCGATATAATTATTGCGAATAATTTTATTCGAT